AGAGAGAGAGAGAGAGAGAGAGAGAGAGAGAGAGAGAGAGAGAGAGAGAGAGGAGCCAGTTGAGGTGACTCGGGCATCTAGTTAGGATGCCTCCTAGATGCTTCCCTGGTGAGGTTTGCCGAGCACGTCCAACCGGAGAAGGCCTAAAGGAAGACCCAGGACACATTGGAGGGACTATGTCTCTCGGGCTGGCCAGGGAATGCCTTAGGGATCCCCTGAGGGAGCTGACCCATGTGGTTGGGGAGTGGGAAGTCTGGGCCTCCCTGCTTAGGCTACTCCCCCTGCAACCCGACCATGGATAATCAGCCAAAAATGTACATCCGTACATAAGCTGATGTCCAATGCTATTGGCTATTGCTGAGTGACGCTCTATTGACATTGTATGGGTCTCTATGGGTAGGGGGGAGGGCTTTGCCAAAAATTAATAAAACATCAACGTTGCCTAGGATTTTCTATCATAGGGTCAGACTGTCACTTTTACCAGTTTCTAAAAAAAAAATCACACATAATTCCTGGAAGGGGGATTATCCTTAACGCTGCTTTGAATGTTTTGATTTGTGACAATTATTTGTCTTGGGATTAAAACGAAAACAGGCATTTAATTTGAAATTCATGTCAATCAATTTGAACTGTCACAGTTTTGATGATTTTTGGGAATATTTTCCCCAGAGCATTACATTGATGAAAATATAAATTATTTAACGTTTGCAGACAAACTTTCTCTTTCTCCCAAGACCTTTTAGTACAAGAAATATCAAATCAGATCCGATATTATCGTCACTTTTTACAAAAATTCTTATTTAAATAAAGGAATTGAAGATATGCCCACGAAGTAGAAACGATGTAGAGTTTTTAGTAGAGGTTTTAATAAATCGGTTCACATATTTGCTAATAATGCATCACAAGACAGCCATTTTTGTCTTCTTTCCCTCATTTAATCTCTGACTTCTATATAGAAAAGCCTCCAGAGTGCAGAAAATACATTATCTCCCATAGACTTCCAATAAAGATCAGCTGGAATTTTCTCTTCCAAAGTGTAACTGAAGGTTTTATGTAACATTTTATATCTTCCACATAAAAGAAATATTTCAACGTCAGAGTTGTCAAGAATTAGTTTCATAAAATGTATAATTTTTGCACAGCAGCTGTTTGTTAGTGGCTCACTTTCTATGCTACATAACTACCTTCTCAGTGGCTATGTGGTAGAGACTGGGAGATCGGGGTTCAAATCCTGGTAGGGTCATACCAGGATGGAACCCAAAGCCTTCCTGCTCGACACTCGGCTTTAAGGGGACAATGTGTCGTTTTTACCATTTACTTCTGGAAATATCCATCAAAATATTGTTGAAAATGAATGAAACGATGCCCAGTTCTTGAAAAATATTGGCGGCTTTGTAACATACAAACATAAAATCTGGTCTAAAATTCATGGGAGTGAGTCTAATGGGCTCGACACACGGGAGGCGACAAACGACCGCGATCAGCGAAATTTGTCGCTGTCGCTTTTATGACCTGTCACACGGGAGGCGATCTGCGGTAGCGGCCAGTGGCAAAGCCGTCTACGCGTTCTGTTCCATGGCGAAATCGAAACTTCCGTTGTTTTGCTTGGCTGTGTCAGGTTGGAGGGAATTAAGGTTATTTAAGCGGTTCAGAGTTAATAAAGTGGTAGATATAATGTTTCACAAGGTGCTGCTAGAGTTATGTGAAATCTTACTTCTGAATTTACTATATAAAACATAATAATAATCAACTTCTCCATATTTGCTCGGAGATGTGCGGAGCATCCTGTCCGCTCATTGGTCAGTGAATGAAACCTCCGTTGATTGGTGCTCGTCCGAGCGACAGCGATGAAAAGTTGAAAATGTTTCAACTTTCTGGGATCGCGTCGCTGGGTCGTACGTGCACGACACATGCATGAGTGCAAACTTTCACACGCACGTTTTTCGCGTTTCCCTTAGTAGGAGAGAGACCCGCGATTATCGCTTTGTCGCGCATGTCTCATTGAAAATGAATGGAGGAGAGGCGATGTCGCCTCCCGTGTGTCGAGCCCATAAGTCTTTGGGCAACACCATATTAGATGCCATGTTTCCTTCTACAGGAGCCTCGTCTCGTCTCTCGTCTCGTCTTCCTCCGCTTATCCGGGTCCGGGTCGCGGGGGCAGCATCCCAACTAGGGAGCTCCAGGCCGTCCTCTCCCCGGCCTTGTCCACCAGCTCCTCCGGCAGGACCCCAAGGCGTTCCCGGACCAGATTGGAGATGTAACCTCTCCAACGTGTCCTGGGTCGACCCGGGGGCCTTCTGCCGGCAGGACATGCCCGAAACACCTCCCCGGGGAGGCGTCCAGGAGGCATCCTGACCAGATGCCCAAACCACCTCAACTGGCTCCTTTCGATCCGGAGGAGCAGCGGTTCTACTCCGAGTCCCTCCCGAATGTCCGAGCTCCTCACCCTATCTCTAAGGCTGAGCCCGGCCACCCTACGGAGGAAACTCATTTCGGCCGCTTGTATCCGCGATCTCGTTCTTTCGGTCATTACCCAAAGCTCATGACCATAGGTGAGGATTGGGACGTAGATCGACCGGTAAATCGAGAGCCTGGCTTTCTGGCTCAGCTCCCTCTTCCCCACGACAGATCGGCTCAGCGTCCGCATCACTGCAGACGCCGAACCAATCCGCCTGTCAATCTCCCGATCCCTCCTACCCTCACTCGTGAACAAGACCCCGAGATACTTAAACTCCTCCACTTGAGGTAGGACCTCTCCCCCGACCCGGAGGTGGCAAGCCACCCTTTTCCGGTCGAGAACCATGGTCTCAGATTTGGAGGTGCTGATCCTCATCCCAGCCGCTTCACATTCGGCCGCGAACCTACCCAGCAAGAGCTGAAGGTCAGAGCTGGATGAAGCTAGGAGGACCACATCATCCGCAAAAAGCAGAGACGAGATTCTCCTGCCACCAAACTCGACACACTCCACACCACGGCTGCGTCTAAAAATTCTGTCCATAAAAGTGATGAACAGAACCGGTGACAAAGGGCAGCCCTGGCGGAGTCCAACCCTCACTGGGAACAGGTCCGACTTACTACCGGCTATGCGGACCAAACTCACGCTCCTCTGGTAAAGGGACTGAATGGCCCTTAACAGAAAGCCACCCACCCCATACTCCTGGAGCGTCCCCCACAGGGTGCCCCTGGGGACACGGTCATAAGCCTTCTCCAAATCCACAAAACACATGTGGATTGGTTGGGCAAACTCCCATGCCCCCTCCATCACCCTTGCAAGGGTATAGAGCTGGTCCACAGTTCCACGGCCAGGACGAAAACCACATTGCTCCTCCTCTATCTGAGATTCAACTATCGATCGGACCCTCCTCTCCAGTACCTTGGAGTAGACCTTTCCAGGGAGGCTGAGGAGTGTGATCCCCCTATAGTTGGAACACACCCTCAGGTCACCCTTCTTAAAGATGGGGACCACCACCCCGGTCTGCCACTCCCTAGGAACTGCCCCCGATGACCACGCAATGTTGTAGAGACGTGTCAACCATGACAGCCCTACAACATCCATAGCCTTGAGATACCCAGGACGAACCTCATCCGCCCCCGGGGCTCCGCCGCTGTATAGTTGTTTGACTACCTCAGCAACTTCTGCCCCCGAGATCGGACAGTCCATCCTCAGGCCTCCCAGCTCTGGTTCCTCCTCGGAATGCGCATTGGTGGGATTGAGGATCTCCTCAAAGTATTCCTTCCACCGTCCGACTATAGCCTCAGTTGACGTCAGCAGCTCCCCATCCCCACTGTAAACAGTGTGAGCGAGTTGCTGCCTTCCTCTCCTGAGGCGCCGGACAGTTTGCCAGAACCTCTTTGGAGCCGATCGATAGTCTTTCTCCATGGCCTCACCAAACTACAGGAGCCTATGAGAACAAAAAGCATTTACTGATTTGTAACAAACGGTTACAAAACTTCTGCCATTCATAAATGTTGTTGTTTTACACATTTATCTCTTCACTTGTTGACAGTGATGAAAGTGACTCTGATGTGGTTGTTATTTTGCTAAAGTTTGCACTCCCCAAGGCTTTTAGACCCTAATGGGTATCCATTGGTAAGGTCTTACTCCAACACAAAAATACTGCTAACGGGCAACGATTCAGGCATCTACTGTGCCCTATCGCCAGGAAAAATACGCACTGTCACATTAAGGGGTTGGATCGGGGATTAAACCACCAAAGAGTTCCCGAACGCAGCCACAGCTGCAGCTCACCGCTCCCCACGGGGGCGGGTCAAATGCAGATATGTAATTTCACCAGTGTGTGATGATGACTAGAGGGATTTTAACTTTCTGCCCTTCTTTATTTTTGGTTGTTGTACAACAAAACTGCAACATTTTGTCTCCTCTCCAGTTATTACAATTATTGTTGTGATTAATCAAATTTATTCCTAAAATGTTACAGTTTGCAGCTCTCTCTCTCTCTCTCTCTCTCTCTCTCTCTCTCTCTCTCTCTCTCTCTCTCTCTCTCTCTCTCGCTCTCTCTCTCTCTCTCTCTCGCTCTCTCTCTCTCTGCGTTTATACACTCTTTGCTTTCTAGTCGGGCTTTATTTGCTCACCTTTCATTTGATTATTATTGAACTCAATTGGACAAAGTGATTGAGTGAACCCTTCTGCACAAGTTGAACAAGGGAGTTAAAGAAAGCAACCGCCCCTGAACTCACCTCCCAGTGCAACTAATTGCCTATAATTACACTTGACTACCCCCACAGAATGCAAATCAACAGAGATCCAAATGTCTTCTCCACAGTGAAAATCTGTTTCGTGTCAACGTGAAACTGAGTGGTGAGCATTCAACACAATAGCCTCAATGATCAGTTTAAGGAGATAAAATTATACCCGCTCCTTCAGCTGTAATTGCTTGCATCATATTGATTATTTTCCCCCAAAGTGGCTTTTGTAAAGGAATCTATTTCAGTTACAGTCATCTAAAACAACTTATCTTCTTTTGTTTTCTTATCCTCAGGGGGAATATTTGAATCCATCGAGAGCGGGCCCTCCGGAGCAGAGGAACTAGCCTTTAAATTTGCCTTGAACACAATCAACAGGAACCGCACATTGCTCCCGAACACCACACTGACATATGACATCCAGAGAATAAACATCTTTGACAGCTTCGAGGCTTCCCGGAAAGGTGAGCGAGGGATGTGGGAGGGAGGGAATCATCGAGCGGAACTTCAATTTCATCAGATATCTGTGAAATATTCTTTCACAGTCATTTAGGCAGTTTTCGTTCATCCTTCTTTTGTGTTCATCATTTAAATCTGATGCAACAAATGCCTCCAACTGCCAAGACTGGCTCTCATCTGCAATTTCAAGATGCATTTATTTTTGGGATATTGGTAAATATGAAGACAGACTCAATAACTGATTACAAAAGCAAAAGTTTAAACTCACAATTACTTAAAGGCTGGGAGTTTTAAATCCTAAAAACACATTGTATTTAGTTCATATTCTCTATATGTACTGTATGCGCTGTATTGCTCACTACCGGATAAACGGTCTATGACACACACAGCGCAATACATAATAAATCAGTCTTGTGATGCAAAATGTTCAAAGCATACTGTTTTTGCACATCAGTTGCTCAATTTAGATTCAGAAAATGTGTTTTTCTGGTAAAAAAAATGTACGTGTACATTTTTTTTGGGGGGGGGGGGGTCTAAAACATACAAAAATGTGGAAAATGAAAAAATTATTCAGGACTTTTTTCAGCTTCTTAATTTTTTCATGTCCAAATTAGAAAATAGATTATTACTTATATCTTCACCTTTTTTCATCTATTAAAAGACATAATGGCTATAAAAGTATCTTACATATGTTTGCTTCATCTTTATGTTTCACTTTCATTTAATTTTTGTTAAAATGTTTTTAATAAAGTTAAATCATTGCTTCATTAAGAAATGTTGATGGCTCTATCAAAATGTTGAACATAATTAATAAATTTTAAGAAATTAAAAGCATGAAATTATTTATTTTGGAGACAAAACTGAGTTGTATTCTTCTGGTTATAAACCTAAAAGAATAAAATACTGATAATATTGATTTGCTTCAGGCTTCAAAGAAGGAGCCATGTTGCATCAGGTCTGAATGTATTCAGCTAAATGGAGAAAGAATCCTAATTTAAGGACTTAATACTGGCAGCAGCAAAAACACTATAATGTATTTGTATGGATGAAAAACTAAGAAGAAACTCTGAGATTAAAGAAAAAAATGTTAAAATTAAAAAAATAAATAAAACTTTAGCATCCACTACTGAACTCAGAGAACACACTTTAACCCTTCAGAATAAGAGTTCCAAACATGCAAACATACCCCTAAAATAAATTTACCAGCTAATAGTGATAATAAACTATCTTTATGAGCTTCAGATGTTTTAGGTTATTGTATGTTTTAGACTTTTATTGTGAAGGATTGAAGAAAGTTCAGCCAAAAGACTGAACCTCCTATTTAATAAATGTTTGTAATTTGCTACATACAAATAAAAAATTAAATAATAATAATAATTATTATTATTATTATTGTTGTTGTTGTTGTTGTTGTTGTTGTTGTTGTTATAACCTAATTTGTTGTGTTTTTTCATCTTTCTTTTTCAAAACTTTATTCTAGAAATGGTTAAACGTTTGTAAAAAAAATATATATATATACATACATACATATATATATATATATATATATATATATATATATATATATATATATATATATATATATATATATATATGTATGTATGTATAGACATTTAGCCTTTAATCTCAAAACAACATCAGCTTTTTTTCATTAACACAAACATGACATCAATCAATCAATCAATCAAAGCTTTATTTATAAAGCGCCTTCCGCAACCCTGTCAGGAAGCCCAAGACGCTGAACATGGTACAGTAGAAGGTAAATATATTGAATAAATCAAAAATAAAAGCAATTAAAATTACAAAATACAAATTACAAAAAAGGTGAAACATTCTGGTACAGGACAAATGTGTAAAACAATGGATAGAGTGAACCAATGAAAACTGTGAAATAAATTCAACATAAAAGAGGGCCAAAATCAAACATGTTCCGGAAACGCCAAGCAGAGGAGGTGTGTTTTTAGGCGACGTGATAAATGACCCATTCATCCATTCACACACTGGTGGTGGTGAGCTATGATGTAGCCACAGCTGCCCTGGGGTGCACTGACAGATGCGAGGCTGCCTAGCACAGGTGCCACTAGTCCTTCCGACCACCACCAGCAGGCAAGATGGGTGAAGTGTCTTGCCCAAGGACTCAAAAGCAGCATTCTCTGTCCAGAACCGGGATCAACCTGCAACCTGATCGAGCTGCGCTGCTGAGGCTTTGTCCTCCTGTTAATGTAGCAGGCGCTGGGTGCTAGGAACCTCACAGATGGCATTGTTGTTTGGACTGCCCGTGTGCTCTCTCCCCCAAGCTGTGATGTGTCGGCCCTCTGTCCACCCCAGCTCGAGAAGCAAGCATTGTAGAAGACGGGAAAAGTGAGATAGCCAGCACGTGAGACGTCAGGCTGGACTTCCTGGATCTCTGAAGAAGCGGCTGGTCCGATTTGGCCAGCTTGTGACCCGGTGGTTCCGAGACATCTGATGGTCTACTATGCACCGTGCCTTGTGAACTTGGCCGGCTTTGAGGGTGAGCTGGCACCGCGCCACAGCCAATCGGCTCGAGAACCTCGCCAGAGTGGGGTTTGCTGGGAGAATCTACGCTCAGTTACGGGCTCAGAGTTGGAGGAGATGGTGCCCGTGGGCGATCCCGGTGCTGCGGCCCCGGTCTGGTCAATGCCAGGTCTGTGCAGAAAAAAACTTTTAATCTTCGGGACTTTTTTATTCAACATGACTTGAGGTGAGGAATCAGGCAAAGAGAAGCCCAAAGACCTCTTATGATGAATTATATAAATGGGAACCGTGTTCCTTCGCCCGGACGTGGGTCACCGGGGCCCCCCTCTGGAGGTGGGGCACGCTGGCGAGCACCTGGTGGCCTGGCTTTCACTCGTGGCGCCCGGCTGGGCACAGCACGAAGAGGAAACGTGGGTCCCCCTTCCCATGGGCTCACCATTTGTGGGAGGGACCAAAGGGGTCGGGTGCAGTGTGTGACGGGTGGTAATCAAGGGCGGGGACCTTGGTGGTCTGATCCTCGCCTTCAGAAGCTGGCTCTTGGCACATGGAATGTCACCTCTCTGGTGGGGAAGGAGCCTGAGTTGGTGTGTGAGGCTGAGAGGTTCCGACTAGATATAGTCGGACTCACCTCAACGCATGGCTCTGGCTCTGGAACCAGTTTCCTTGAGAGGGGTTGGACTTTCTACCACTCTGGAGTTGCTCCCACTGAGAGGCGCTGAGCAGGGGTGGGCATACTAGTTGCCCCCATCTTGGTGCCTGTAGGATGGGGTTTACCCCAGTGAATGAGAGGGTAGCCTCCCTCCGCCTACGTGTGAGGGACGGGTTCTGACTGTGGTCTGTGCTTATGCACCAAACTACAGTTCAGACTACCCACTGTTTTTGGAGACCTTGGAAGGGGAGCTGGAAAGTGCTCCGTCCGGCGACTCCCTCGTACTGCTGGGGGACTTTAACGCTCATGTGGGCAGGGATGAGGTCCTGCCCCAAGTGGAGGAGTTTAGGTATCTTGGGGTCTTGTTCACGAGTGAGGGAAAACTGGAGCGTGAGATTGATAGGAGGATTGGTGCTGCATCTACGGGCGTTGTACCGGTCTGTCGTGGTGAAGAGAGAGCTGAGTCAGAAGGTGAAGCTCTTGATTTACCGGTCGATCTACGTTCCTACCCTCACCTATGGTCATGAGCTTTGGGTAGTGACTGTAAGAACAAGATCACAGATACAAGCGGCCGAAATGAGTTTTCTCTGAAGAGTGGCTGGGCTCTCCCTTAGAGATAAGGTGAAAAGCTCGGTCATTTGGGAGGGGCTCGGAGTAGACCCGCTGCTCCTATACATCGAGAGGAGCCAGTTGATGTGGCTCGGGCATCTGGTCAGGATGCCTCCTGGACGCCTCCCTGGTGAGGTTTTCTGGGCACATCCAACCGGGAGGAGGCCTAAAGGTAGACCCAGGACACGGTGGAGGCACTATGTCGCTCACCTGGCCAGGGAACACCTTGGGATTCCCCCGGAGGAGCTGGCCCAAATGGCTGGGGAGAGGGAAGTATGGGCCTCTCGCCTTAGGCTACTGCCCCCGCGACCCGACTCCGGATAAGCCCGACTCCGGATAAGCAGATGAAAATGGATGGATGGATGGATGGATGGATGGATGGATGGATGGATGGACATGACTTGAGTTTTCAGTGCATCTGTGAGTCCTAGATCCCGTTTGGTGACTCAAGCGCCCTGCTGGAGCTGGTGCCACCTGGCTGCTGCTGTTTTAATATCCCTAGATCGCGGGGCAGAGGTGGTGGGCTGGTTGTTGTTTTGAAATCCAGCTTTCCTTGTAAACAGCTTACACCCACCATGTCATTTTCTTCCTTTGAACTGTGCCTATTTGAACTGTGCATCTCCCCCCGCCTGCTCGTCGTGCTGATTTATCGCCCTCCAAAGACTGACTCTAACTTCCTTAATGATTTCTATGATCTTGTGGCAGACTGCATCCTAAAATATGACTATGTCCTATTTTTGGGTGATTTTAACATCCATATCTGCTGTCCTGACAATGTGCTTGCTAAAGGTTTTTTTAATTTGCTAGATTCATTCAATTTAACTCAATGGGTATCATCCCCAACTCATGCCATGGGTCACGCCCTGGATCTGGTTATCTCTTTTGGTCTCCCTGCCATGAACCTTGTGACTTTGCCTCCTGTGTTCTCTGACCACTCTCCAATACTCAGTGATGTTACGTTGCCATGCCCTGTCCCTGTGTGTGAAGCTCCAGCTACTAGGTTCAGAGCCCTGGATGCAGAAACTGTTGCAAGGTTTGTGGACTCTATGTCTGTAAGGTTAGAGACCTTTAACCCAGATCCATCTAACACTGATCACTATTCACAACACTTTGATTTACTTAGTAATTAGGTCCTGGACGTGGTTGCCCCTCTCAAGCTTTGTAAGTCTAGGCCTAGGAGGGAGCCTTGGCTCTCTGTTGTCACACGGGCTTGTAGGCGGGCGTGTAGACCTCTGAGAGAAAGTAGAAAAAGGATGGCCTACAGGTCTCGCGTGAGTTGTTCAGAGCATCTCTAGTTGCTTATCAGGATGCAGTGAGGGTTGCCTATTTTGCAGACATCATCGAAGCAAACTCTAAGAATCCCAAGATTCTCTTCAAAACGCTGAACTCTGTTCTGGTGTATCAGGAGCCTAGCTTCATGTCTCCTACAGCTGCTGGAAACTCTGAAGATTTTCACTAATTCTTTGTTCATAAAGTATCAGGCACTAGAGCAGCTATTTCTGGTAACTCTATTGACCCTGTTCCAGTTCCTTCATCACCACCCACCCTGAGCTCCCTCAATACTGTTTCTTATTCTGAGCGGAATAAGCTTGTTGCAAGGTAGAAGCTCTCCACTTGATGTTCTGCCGCCTTGTCTCTGGAAGGCTGCCTTTCCGTGTCTTGGCCCACCACTTGGTCAGATTATCAATGGGAGCCTCAGCACAGGTGTGGTCCCAGCTGCTTTGAAAGCAGCAGTTGTTCGGCCGACCCTGAAGAAACCTGGTGCTGACGCCTCTGTGATCGAAAATTACAGGCCTATCTCTACCCTGCCTTTTACATCGAAACTGCTTGAGAAAGTCGTTTATCAGCAGCTGGTCTCACATTTAGCTGACTCAGATCTGTTTGAGGTTTTCCAATCAGGGTTCAGGTCTGGCCATAGCACAGAGTCGGCTCCACTGAGGGTCCTAAATGATATCTATCTATCACTAGATCAGGGTACATCTGTGGTGCTTTTGTTGATAGATCTGATGGCAGCTTTTGATACGGTTGACCACGCGATTCTACTTGATCGCTTAGAACGATGGGTTGGGGTCAAAGGGTCTGCTCCGGATTGGTTTAGATCGTGTCTCCATAACAGGACCTTCTGTCTTAAACTGGGTGATGTTTTTTCTTCTTGGGAGGGGCTCCGCTCGGCGGTCCCACAGGGATCGATCCTTGGTCCTCTTTTGTTTGCAATTTATCTGCTTCCTCTGGGGGTCAGTCTTTCGTAAACATGGCCTAGCGTTCCATCTCTATGCTGACGATTGCCAGATTTACTCTCCATTGTGTCAAGAGAAAGGTCTCTCTATCCAGTCCTTTGTGTCCTGTCTTAACGAGGTAAAGTCTTGGCTAATGGCCAACTATCTGCATCTGAATGAGGGAAAGACAGAGCTCATTGTTTTTCACCCCAGTAGCAGGGCTGTGTGTCGTTATGTTGCTCTTGATCCTCTTTCTCCCTACTCAAAACCATTTGTCACCAGTTTGGGGGTGAAAATTGACGCTGGACTTAAATTTGATGCTCACATCAACTCTGTGATCCGGTCCAGTTTCTTTCATCTGAGACGCCTTGCAAAAATCAAGCATATGCTGTCGACAGCCCACCTGGAGCGGGTACTCCATGCTTTTGTACTTTCTAGGCTTGATTACTGCAACTCTCTATATGCAGGGTTGTGTCAGTCACCACTGACTACGTTTACATGCAGCCAATATCCGGGCTATGATCAGGTTAAGGTCGGTATTCGGGTTTCTGAGTTGATCAGAATAACCCGTTTACAAGCATAAATAGAAAGAGTTACCCCTAACTTGCATAACCCGATTTAAATGCGGACGTTGGGGTAGCGTCATGATGTATGGACTACGTCAAGACGCAATGTGCATCATATTTCGCTGTGTCTGTAATTTCGGCCGTCAACAAAAGACATAATGTTCATACTTTTCACCAGACCGGTGAAGACAGGTTTCCTCATCACTCCAAAAGTGTGGTGCTGTGCCGCGACTCGCCATGTTGCTCCCAACTTGTTGTTTACTTCCGGTGTTCTGGCGCACACAAGATGTCTCGCTACTCAAAAGACCAAGATTCCTTGCGAACAGAGCATGCGCAGAACACACGCTGTGATGGGGATATCCCGATATGCGTTTACATGACCAAATATTCGGGTTAGAAAAGGGTTACCCCAGGTGTAGTAACCGGGTTTTTAAAAACCCAGTTATGAGCATATCTGGGTTTTTGGCGGTGTTTACATGGACCTGCGGAACTGGGTTATTGTGAATATTCGGGTTTTAAAAGAGTTACTGGCTGCATGTAAACGCACTCACTGTGTCACTTACAGGTTTTGCAGAACAGCGCAGCCAGGTTCCTTACTGGGACCAGGAAACGGGACCACATCAGTCCAGTTCTGGCCTCCCTGCTCTGGCTTCCGGTCTGTTATCGTTCACACTGTAAACTCCTCGTCTTTGTTTACAATTTCTTCCAGGGTAGTGCTACCCCCTATCTAGCCACACTCCTGAACAGACATTCCCCATCACGTGCTCTGTGCTCATCTGATCAAGGCCTGCTTGCTGTCCTTTGTTCTAGGTGTCGTACTCGCTGGGACCGGGCTTTCTCAGTCCTAGCCCCATCACTCTGGCACCAGTTGCCACCCTCAGTTAGGCTGTCCCCATCTCTGCTAGTCTTTAAGAGTCACCTAAAAACCCACCTCCTGCGCTTGGCATTCCCTGAACGTGTTTGAATTTGGCCCTCTTTTATGTTGATTTCATTTCCTTGTTTTCATTGGTCTCTTTGTCCCTTGTTTTACCCATTTGTCTTCTACTTTAATGTTTTACCTTTTTTGCACTATTTGCATTGCTTTTATTTTCAATTTATTCATCATGTTTCACTTTTCTCATGTACCATGTTCAGCGCCTTGTGCTTCCCGACAGGGTCGCGGAAGGCGCTTTATAAATAAAACTTTGATTAATTGATTGACTTTCCGATCACTGGACAACCCGCTCTATGACTCATAGTAGAGATCATTTCTACAAACAGTTATTTTTTTTCTGTTGTGGCTGAAAAGTGTGCCAGCAAAATAAACCAAAGCCCTGGAGCAAGTGAAAGCCAAGTCAATGATGTCCCCGCTTCTTATTCCAGCATGTGACCAGCTTTCTCTCGGCGTGGCAGCCATCTTTGGCCCGTCGCACAGCTCCTCTGCGAATGCAGTCCAGTCCATCTGCAACGCTCTGGGAGTGCCCCACATCCAGACCAAATGGAAGCATCAAGTGTCCGACAACAAGGACTCATACTACGTCAGCCTGTACCCCGACTTCTCCTCCCTCAGCAGAGCCATCCTGGACCTGGTGCACTTCTTCAAATGGAAAACAGTCACTGTGGTCTATGACGACAGCACAGGTACAGGTACAGTCCTTGTCTGTCCTTGCCTCCCTCTGCTTTCTGTGATGATGAATGTGACCGTTTTCACACTTTCTTCAGTGCAAAAAAATATCTTAAATAAATAAAAGGTACCAGGTGAACTACACAAATGTGGCGCTGCCCCTCAGAGTTCAGTGGGCGCTTTGTAACCTGTCAAGTTAATTCAGAAATCAATAGCTTACTGTTCTGTCTCAGTCCTCCAGGTGCTGCCCATGTCAGTCTTCCAGGAGAGTGAGCAACAGCACAGCAGAAAAAATAAATAAATAAAACCGCATTGCCCAGAATGACCCGGTGCCTCTTTGGATTAATGCAAAGTAGAAGAGTGGTATATGTGTGGGGGCTGACAACAGCCATTAATAACACGCATGGACACTTGATCTCTGAGGGTGGCTATCAAATGTGTCTGCCAGCCACTTTGTCTCTCCTGTAACTTTGACGAGTGGCTCGTAATCCGCGTTTTAAAAGGCGAGTTGTGTTTTAGCTGGAGTGCAGAGATGTTCTCTTGAAGGAAAACGCAATCACTCTGGGGAGGATGACAAAATTTCAGTACTTATCTGGGGCTTATTAGCTGCTTGGTCTAATGCAGCTGACAACTAAATGCAACTGGATTTCTAATGGATTTAATCCATATCATCCAATTTTTCCAAACTCCTTTATTTCTGTTCTTTTCGTGGCTCATAACTGCTATTGTTGTACCTCCGGGATCCCTAGATGCACTTTTGTGACATACATTTCAGTAAACAACCCATCCTCCAGAATCCGCACCAATCTGACCTCAGATTATGACCTGGTGGCTCATCCCACTTGCCACATTATTCAGACTCATCTCTTTGACCTCTCTCCACTTCCTCGCCCCGAGCTCGATACGTTAACACCCTCAATCGCCCTCAAATTGTCCCAGCAAGATGCCAATAGATGACCTCCTGCCTTTCCCTCTCATCCGGGCGCCGTGCAGACCTCCCCCATGTGAAGGTTTGCTTATTTCTTGGTCTTTTTCTTTAGCTGTAAGACACCTAAAGTAAAAGTGTGACAGCTGCATAGCCGCGTTGCTCCCGCTACCCCCCACCGCCACACACACACACACACACACCCTTGCTTCACTTCCATCCAGTCTCAGGCTGTAATCACACAACGTCATGCTCCAGGGCCCCGCGCTGCTGATTGGAGCCTATCTGACGTCTGGCAGGAAAAACTATCGGAGGGGATAAAATATTCACACACAGCCGTTAGAAGATCCAGGGGGAAAGTCTAAAGGCATTAGCCAGAGCTCACAAACATCTACACTGACAGTGTTTCCCAAACGTTGAGCTCCCTTGACAGATTTTTTTTTCTTGCTTAACACCTCCCAAAGTGTCGGCGTGAACAAAAACCAGGAGAGGCAGACATGCCCCAGAGTGGGGATCTATAGGGATTACCGGGGGACAGATCTCAGAGGTTCAGAATCCCACCCTATTGTAGTTGGTTTCACAGCCAGACCTGCATGTATCTATTTCACACCAATTTTTCTGCAGGCCTCAGGGAGACCCAGCCCCGCTTACAGCGAGACCATTAAACCGCTCACACAGCACTCCGTTTCAAAATAAAAAAAATCGGCTGAGCTATCTTAAAGTGGTTCCATAAAAAAAGAAGAAAAAAATCCCATCTCTCTCTCCAGTTCTTTCTCAAACTACCCTTTCTGCTCCATCCATTTTTAAACCCATGACAAGTAATCATCTCTCCCATCAATCCAGCCCCTTTCATCCCTGGACTCTGAAGTCCTTCACCGAGGGAGAAACTCATTGTAATCTCATCACAGTATCTCCTGGAGAGCTTTCTACCTGAGCGTGTGGTCGAGAAATGAAAGGTGAAGATTGGAGCTGAATATGCGACGGCGGCGTCGGGCTCCCCCGGGGGGGGGAGTACAAGCTGGGCAAACAGAGCGGCTCTCATCAGAACACATCTGAAGTGTGTGTGGAAAGACAGAAGAGGCAGAATGGACCACGGCTTTCCATCAGGACAAAATTGAACCTATTCAGTGTTTCTGTGTGGTGTCGTGGAACACAAGAGCGAATCAACATTTTGGGAGCCTCTGTCAGATTGGAAGTTAATGTGGGAGGGCGCAGATCGAGGCTCTGTCTGTTTTGTGCTTTTGGTTTAAAGGAGTGCAGTGTGCTGGCTCTGTGGAACGTTCGCTTGATGGGTCTGAAGCAGTCTGTTTGCTTGCCAAGCATGTGTAGGAGGATCAATAGAGTGTGGATTAGAAAGGCATGCATATGAGCCTTTTTCTGCTGAGAAGACCTAATTCCAGTTGGATTTTTTTTTCTTTTATGGCACCCTCAGAATCCGAGATACTTCAAAATGGCGACAGATCAAACAGACAGTGTTGCTCCATCTTTCTTTAAAAATTCCTCTCTTTCACGCTATGTGCATCCTCTTTGTCCGCAGGTCTCATTCGACTGCAGGAGCTGATCAAGGCGCCGTCGCGATACAACATCCGTTTGAAGATTCGACAGCTGCCCACAGAGACCAAGGACGCCAAGCCACTTTTGAAGGAGATGAAGAAGGCAAAGGAGTTTCACGTCATCTTTGATTGTGGACACGAGATGGCTGCCTGGATCCTGAAGCAGGTGGAGCCACCTATATGAGCGGTCACGGTTCCCACGAATCGGTGCAGAAATAAAGACGTGGACTTTTTACAAACACTCAGTCGATGATCATCAATGACAAAAATAGTGCTCGCTAAAAGAAGCGAGTCGTTCACTGGATGCTGATAGTTCATTCATTATGTATAAATACTGAAACAATAAGCTCATGTGCTCTCAGTTTATTACTCTTTCTCTTGTTAAGCACCGATTCAAATCATTTAGATACCTTCTCTCAGCTCGGCGCGGCTGTAATCTCTTTGAGGAATATTAGATTTTGACTACTGACCAATCTCAGTGGATGCTCTCAATTGCACAATAAAGTTTTTTTTAATTAGAAAGTGCAACTCTGCTCGCAGACATGTTGAGTTCATTTAACAGAAGCACATTAGTTATGGCAAATGTGGGGCTTCTTATTAAAGCGAGGTCGTCTCTGAAGAATGCAATTGCACGGTTGGATATCTTCACAGGGCTTTATGTTTCTGTGGGCATGAAGCTGGATCGAGACTAAAAATGGAAGTTGTTTTTGTCATTTGTTTGGCCATCCACATCCAAAAGCCCCAAAAGAACCCGTAGGATAGCAAGAAATTAACAATTTTCAAGATATTTTTCAATTGTAAGCAAGTGCAGAAAATGACCAAACACAGAAAGTCTTTGTAAATTTGTATTTTCATGATTAGTGACTGGGTTTTGGACATTAAAACTTATTTTCAGAGTGTTTGCTAAAAGAAAAAAAAATGAATTTGGAAGGTATTTTGCATATTTGCATAAAGAGAAGGAGCTGTGAAATGGACACGTTTATATCGGTGCGAACGACACGTTTCGTGTGAAAAGTATCGACTTTAAAATGCTTTTTAAAAAGGATATTTTTCACACAAAATGTGAAAACAGCAAAAACTGTAAGGAGGATGTGTGGTTTAAGCTTTTAGAAGAGTTTGGCTGGTAGATTTCAAGCCTCCTTTTTGTCTGCATGCAAGAATTTTAGCCCTGGGTGCTGAAAGATAAAGGGTGGGTGATAATTTAGCCTGTGTGTAGGTTTTACTATTAGGAAAAGTAGTTAAAAATTTTAATGAAACTTTCAGAGAATAATGGTTGGATTCAAAGTAACACTGAGCAGTTTCCATCTCCTCTGCCCTACTGGTTGAAAGTGGAATTAAAGCTGTCATTAATAACCCTGCAGCAGCCTGCTGTAGCTAGCGCTAACAACGAGCTAACACTAACATGAGCCAACTAATAAAAAAAATATATATAAATAAATAAAAAGATCCACACTGTTGGACAAGAAATATTATTGCTCACAAGTACAGTAGCAACAAAGCCAGGTCACCATCAGTCCATGATTCTGTAGCCTCCTTTAGCTCCCTAAAACTAGTGTGGGCCACGCCGATGTTCACTCTGGTTTTAGCAATTTGCTTCACCTCCAAAGACATTACTCTCTTACTTTTAATTCCAGGCTCCGCCATGATGCCAACAGAAAAAGCGAACTTCTTCGTTTTCTTTTTCTTGTGCTTTTTATTGATGATTGGCAAACCGAAAAAAGCTAACTGCTAGCATAACAGCTAACAGCCGTAATGCAGGTAAAGAGCTCCCCCTATAGAGCACCTACCTGCTCCACTAAACTATTAAGTGTTGCAGAGTGGTGTCAAGTAGGATGCTAGGCTCTAGCTTAAAGTTTAAAGTTTAGTTTTACAAACTATTAAGCTACATTTTGATGAGTGCTAGTTGAGAGTAAACATCTTCACTCAGAACTTTAGTTGCCATGAACCACTTGGTGGATTTTACATAAATTCTCATACAATAATCATGTGATGTTCTGACCCTGTGCACCTAAGTTACCTGATCTTGAACGGAGGGCAAAACTGATGTCTGAGGTTTTTTTTTTTACCAGTTTAGACTGATTTCTACTAGTTCAAGCCCAGGTGGGGCTCATTGAGAGCAGTGTTCACAAAAGTTTGAGCTAGCTAGCATAGAAACCAACTCTTAATTTCTTCTCGCTGCTGTGTTCACTGATTAGATTAAGTCGCCGACTTTGCCATATCGACAAAGGTTATCGGCTGAATTATAACGTCATACGTAGTTCTACGTTGGAACATTATCGTTAAAATCTAGAAAATCTCTGTGGTGGACAGAAATGTACGTTCTTCATATTGAAATATAGGATTATCAATGCTAAATAATATAAACATTATCACATTTGTCATTTCAGGTTCATCCCACTCATACAAACATTACTCTTACCTGCTAAAGCGTGTTTGCTGCTAATCTGAAAATACTTTGAGGGCTGCTAGTCTGTTTGATGGACAGATGTTGTCCACCCGTGTCTTCTGTGTCCATCAAAGTTAGTCAATATATAAACAAGTTGGGTTTACGTACTTGTCTGGCCATGCAGCATACTAGGCTATCGCCATTTCACTGTGAAATTAACAAATGAGAAGCAAAAGGAAGCTTGTTTTTGACTAGCTTAATGTAGGCTCATTTAAATGATCGTGAATATTTCCTTTGATGTCTGCCATGGAGAACGAGGCGTTCCCATGAATAGTGTGACGTAATGTGTAAAAGGACAATATTTGCTAAAAAGTCAACATAATCCAAGATGGCCACCTTAGCTAAAATCAAAAAAAGGCAAAAACTCTGTTTCACAAATAAACTCAAACACAAATAGTGCAAATATATACGAGGTTTGCGAATTGTATATGATCGTAAACTATTGCACGTAATCACAAATAAAGATATCTTTAGATTTGACCTAAACTTTTAAACACTCATTTCTCATAAGTATCATTATTATAGGAAATCTGCTTATGTTTCTAGATGAGTTAAGACATTACCATTTGTTAAATAACCGAATGACTAATCCTAATCAGTAACATTATATTCTCATTTGTATGTTATCATTTAAATGTACTTTATGACCGATGCTCGTTTCTCCCTCCAGGCCTTGGCCATGGGTATGATGACTGAGTACTATCATTATATTTTTACAACCCTGGTGAGTAAAGCAGCCCTTTCTCCTCCCTTTTTGTCCTCTTTTCTGTATTTGTGTGTTGTGGCTAAAATGCAGTGATGGATTCCTTTTTCTTCATCCCGTGTTTTTACTCTTCGCTGCCACTCGATAATGCATGCTCTTTGTTCCACGGCTGTCGGAGTGCAAACATTTATCTGTGTTGTTTGTTGCAAGACAAAATTCATCCATCTGCCTGGGAGTCTGATAGCAGATTTTTGACTCTCGGACTAAAATTGAACAGAATTCAGACTCTGAACAAGTAAAAGAAAAATATCTAAGTGATTTTCTTCTTCATTATTATTATTTCTCGTGTGTGGGAATCGTTTTGAAACTCCGCCACAAACTGATGAAAAAGCCGAGTCACCCTCGGTCAGCTGCATGTTAAACCCAGCAGTGAAAAATCTAACTTGAATTAGTTTTTTATACATATTAAATCCAACCCCCCCAACCCCCCCACCCACCCACCCCCACCCCCCACCCCCCCACGCCCCACCGCGGCTGACCGCTACCCCCAATGTACGGGAAAAAAACAGGTGGAAGTATTTTAGTCTGACTCTGGCTGCCATTTGAAGTTCTCCAAAGTTCTTTGATCTAGCCACTACAAAGATGGCCCACTGCTATGCTCCAGATGAAAAGCAGCACATCCTCACCAAGCCCTGAGAGCAGAAGAGCTCTGATAATAGCCCTGAGCAGGAGATACTGTCACCCATTTGTTCCATTATAGCTCTGACAAAAAAAATAATTATAATAATGCACTATGTTGTTTGGAGCACAGCTGGAATATCTGGGAGGAAAGGAAGGAGAAAACCTGCCAGCAAAATCTAAAAAAATGGATCCACATACATGTGGCAGCCTGTTTAGATGAAAGGGGTGAGGATGACAGCAGGTATGTCATTGTAAACGAAAAGAGGACAGTGATTCTGTGGCATGCTGCTGCCTGTTGTGATGGAAACATGCCTACTTTGACATCGGCCAGTATTTGGCAGAATAAGGTCCCCTCTGCTGGCCCGGGCATCTGTATACTGGTGCCCATTCATTCGTGCTGCCTCCGGAACAGCAAATATTGACCATGGCACCCCTGTTTTGCGGGCATCACCTGCTGTTGCTCTTTCAACTGTGTCGTTGCGTCCCAGAGACATCTGCCCGGTTAGATTCCAGACATGCTGTATGCAGGACAATTGGGTTGTCCTTTCACTTCCACATGATAGATGGCAGCTCACCAAACGCCTGCCTGTAACCTTGAAAGTATTGCCTTAATCAAAAGCTACTGCCACATAATGAAAATATACTGCATAAAGTACCTTCAACTGTATGGCTCTGCTCTCTCTCACAGAGCTCCAGCCACCCGTCAGCTGACATCTTTTATTACTTTAGATGTTTTTAAGAAGTGAAATATATGAATTTTAAATATTTTTTGACGTTACTGCCTCTAGGACCTTTTTGCCCTCGACATGGAACCGTATCGCTTCAGTGGCGTCAACATGACTGGGTTCCGCATACTCAACACAGAAAACTCTCAGGTGTCATCGATCATCGAGAAGTGGTCAATGGAGCGACTGCAGGCTCCCCCCAAACCGGATTCGGGCTTACTGGATGGATTCATGACAGTAGGCTAACATTATTATTACCTGACATCATGTTGCTTGTGCTGAAATGTTCGTAAATTAGTTCTTTGGAAGCTTTGGGAGTTCCATTTCTTTCTTTGTTTCTTTCTTTCTTTGTTTCTTTCTTTCTTTCTTTCTTTCTTTCTTTCTTTCTTTCTTTCTTTCTTTCTTTCTTTCTTTCTTTCGTTTTTTCTTTCTTTACCATGGAATTTAAGAGATTGGAGCTAATTTAGGATAGCAGCAGTTCTCTAAAAGCACTTTAAATGTGAGCATATTCAAACCATATAAACAAACTGAAACACGGCTTATGTGAATGGACCCAACCACAGAATATGTTGCTGCCTTCATAAAAATTATTTAACTCTTTTTAACTTTTACAGAGTTTAGCATGAACATTGTTGTTTTTTGAATCGTTTCACCCTCATCACTTTAGTATTTTTCCTGGACGCACCAGAAAAGCAACCTTTTGCTGATGATGATGATATTTATATCTAAAAGTACCTATTTATATCTAAAAGTACCGTGGTAATGTGAAGTAAAGGATTATGAATCGTTTTAAGAAGACAACATGCATTTTGCTTTTCACTGGTCTGAATTGCTGCTCATCAGCAGGATGGAAAAATCCCTTTCTCCAAACCAAGTCCATCCTTTTGAGTAAATTAGTAATTATAACTTTTACACAGAAACACACTTCAAAACAGTCTTAAAATCTCTTTCATGTTTTAAAATATGCATTTTTAAAATCTTTTTAAAAAGAAAGATTGTGTGGATGTCAGTTGTCAATCACAAGCGCCGTGTTGCAGGGTTCCTGGGGTGTGCACAGGCCTAGCATAAATGTCCTCTGCATGGAGCTTTAGAGTTGGTGCTCCTGGGTCTAAATGCTCAGTAATGAGCCAGTGTGAATGGTAATAGCCGTTTATCTGCCCTCCTGCCTCTCACAACTCTCCTCTGGGAGCATGGCCAAAATATGACAATCTGTCACTGTTCATGCAGAGGGAGGGAGCAAATTGGATGGAAATTATGGCCTTGGTTTTTTTCTTTTTTCTTATTATTATTTATAATATTTTTTTCTTTTTAGATGGCATCCAGAAAAACCCAGGAATAAGGTGATTTGAAAGTGAAAAAGGGAACAGAGCTCGTCATGGACATTCAAGGTCCCTCTCTGGCTCTGTTGTTGTAAACAGTCAATTTACTCCACCTCCCTCGCAGCACCTTCCTCTGAGACAAACACCTTTTTTCCCTTCGTCCTTTTAGCCATCCATTCTGTTTTTCTTGGCAGATTTAGGGTGTAGTAAGAGAAATCTGTGTAATATGAGAACTATCTTTTCATGAAAGGCTTACAGAAAAACCTTTGAAATAGACTCAGCACATGGTGTCTATTCACATATCAGTCATGGTCTTAATTCTCTTACTTAGATCAGAAATGAGCACACTCTGTCAAAGAAATATATGTTTTTGTGTGACATGTATCTCACACGATTCAGTCTACAACACTGTATTGTCAGGAAACTAGCTGTAAATAACCCTAACGTAACTTCTCCCTCCAGGGCCCTTATTTCTGTGCAGCAGACAAATATAGAAAGATCAGTAAGGAAATTATGCATGAAGATATATTATCACAACGCATATAAAATAAAATAAAAGTCAAGTAGTGCGATTATTTTCCCCCTACGCTGCAAACTGATGGATATTAGTGCTGAATTCTGAACTGATTTATAAGCGTCGCATGAATCATTTTGACAGATCTCACACTCCGTATTGACATATCTCAGTGGTCTAGAAATACTGCTCAATAATAAATAATGGGCCCAAACACCAGGGTGATAAAGTGCTTCATTAGAGCCGTTTATTTATAAGTGCGGGGGTCTTGTGTCTTTTTATTCTTCCGAGCACTCCCACCTAAGACGCTTCCGCGCAATGAGTGAATAGAGACACCTCGACGTGAACATAAAAGTGCCGTCGCGTTAATGGTATGACAAATGCACGGTGGGGGAACAGTTCCGCAGGTGATTTGAAACGTGTCTTGGATGTATTTTTTTTAAAGAAGCACAAATTGAAACGAAAATTTTTGACTCCTCTGTTGCTCAAACGTCTTTGTTTAGCACGCAGATCGCTTGATATTTACGCTACAGCACTTTTGTCGGCAGAATCCTTCTTTTATGGTGCCATTAAATTAAATAGAGGGTGGGCTGCAGCAGCCAGAGTGTGACCCCCCCCCCCCCCCCCCCCCCCCCCCCCAGCCCTTCCTCTCTCCATCTAGCCTTTTATTGCTTCTCCTGGAAGCCTTGTTCTTAGTCAGAGAAGTACAGACGCCTCGCTGGGCACTGAACTTGTTTGCGCTCGGTGACCAGGCAACGGTTGTGTAGCAATGGTTGCCAGGACAACACCGCACATGTCACCTTGTGATTTCATGAAGGATTGATTGACTGAGATGTGTTGGGGAGGAGGTGATGATGGGGGATTGCAGGCAAAAGGGAGCTTTGATGACATGAAGGAGGAGAAGAAGAGAAGGACAGGAGGGTAGGGGTGATGGGATGGGTGAGGATGTTTCAACTGTTGAGGTTCACGCGACGCTTTCTCACATCACAAGGCGTGCGTAAACGCAGGGCAGTGGAAAATCACAGTGACACTCTGTGCCGTGGGTGAGGCCGAGTTTTATCTCGGGCACAAACGCATCATGAGAAGTCCGCCGTCAGACGAGGCGAGCTGGCAGCCGGAGCACACTCAGCGCCTCAGAGTTCAGATTTCTCTGATGAGCTCAGAGTGAACTAGTGCAGTTTATTTTTGTTACACACCATGTGCCAATGACCAGAAGATAGTTCGCAATTGGGTTTTTAAGAGGTGCAGGATGACTGAATTTTAGTTTGGGTTTTTTTTTTATTAAAAAAGAGGAAACTAAGAAAAAGTGAGAGCACCCTACAAAGTCGCATCACTCCTTAGCCCACTCTCTCACTGGCCAGACTGTTAGAAAATACAAAAAAAATGCTAAAAGTTTTACAAATGACCAGACGATCACGGCTGTTATCCACATTTAGGCATGAACGGGGATGAGAGTTCAAGACTATTTTGAGAGAACATTTGTCTTGCCTATTTTGACACCAATGTGAGACTTTGTGACTCATGAGATGAAATGAAAAATCTTCACTTTGGCTTTGAGACATTTTCCCTAGAAAACTCTCATGGATGACGTAAAGTTGCAGCCCTGTGGGATACTGGCTTTTGATATCCAGGTTTCCTTTGATATTCAGGTTCTGAGGCTACAGGGACAAAAGCAAAACCTCCTGCTTTCTCCTTTTGAATCTGTTTATTTTGGATTCTGAGGCATTTTTGGAAGCAGCACCCTATGTTAAAGGGCATCCTGCCATCATTTTGACACACCGTGAGGTGGTTTCTCCACAGGTTTGGTCTCTCAATGAAGAAACATTTCTTAAATATAAACCTAAAGAATCAATATATTAAATTTGTGATGTGATGTTCACGAACAAATCGAGTCTTCTGAACAGCTCTTCAAAGTGAACAATGAGAGCCGAGTCTTTGTGGAGAACCAAATATTTTGTCTTCTAGCAAAGCTAACACCCCCATCACAGACATCGGCAGAACGTGTTTATGCCCACGCCCCTCAGAGACCCCACCGCCACCACTGCCACAGAGATCGCTCTGTGTCGTTCAAAAGAGCCAGTCTTTTGAACGGCTCTTTAAATTCAACGATGAGAATCGAGTCCTTGTAGAGAATTGTTTATTTTGTCGTACAGCAAAGCTAACACCCCCACCACGGACATTGGCAGAACACGTTAACTCTCCCACCCCTGCACCTGCAGAGATTACTCCACATCGTTCAAAAGAGCCAGTCTTTTGAATGATTCTTGAAGTAACTGGCTCTCAAATGAACAACTCCCTTCTAAGATTCATAATAATAATAAAAATAATAATAATCCATCAAACTTATAATAGCATTTTTAGGACACTCAAAGACGCTTTCACGCACTCTCACTTTCACACACTGCCAGTGATGGTAAGCTACTATGTAGCTACAGCCGCCCTGGGGCGGTCTGAAAGAGGCGAGGCTGCCATTTGGCGCCGTCTGCCCCTCTGACCACCACCATCACAGGCAGGTTGGGTGAAGTGTCTTGCCCATCAGCCGAATACCCCTGGCGGGAGCTGGAATCAAGCCCCTTCTGAACAACTTAACTCATTTTATGCAAGGTTTGAAGTCCAACACCCCTCTCCCACCCCCCTACTGCACAGGTTTCTTCAGCCACTCTGGTGTCACATGCCTCCCCCACCACCTCCACCACTGTGAACACTATGGTCCCCGCTGACCACCCCTCCCCCTCCACTGCCTTCTCAGTGACAGAAGAGGATGTGCTTAGGGTTTTCCGTAAGCAAAACCCACGGAAATCCTCGGGCCCAGACGGTGTCTCCCCCGCAACCCTGAGACACTGCGCAGAGGAACTGTCTCCAATCTTCACGGATATCTTTAACATCTCCTTGGTGTCCTGCCATGTTCCAGCGTGCTTTAAGCTGTCCACCATTGTCCCTGTCCCGAAGAAACCCCGTATCACTGGACTGGATGATTACAGCCTGTGGTGCTGACGTCTGTAGTCATGAAGTCTTTTGAGTGCCTGGTCCTCCCTCATCTCATGTCTTTCACCTCCCCCCTCCTGGACCCTCTGCAGTTCGCATACAAAGCCAACAGGTCTGTAGACGACGCCATCAACCTGGCCCTCCACTTCATCCTGCAGCACCTGGACTCCCCGGGAACCTACGCTAGGATCCTGTTTGTGGACTTCAGCTCTGCGTTCAACACCATCCTCCCTGCTCTGCTCCAGGACAAGCTCTCCATGCTCAACGTACCCAATTCCACCTGCAGGTGGATCAGTGACATCCTGACGGACCGAAGGCAGTGCGTGCAGCTGGGGAAGAATGTTTCCACCACTGAGGCTATTAGCACAGGATCTCCACAGGGCTGTGTACTTTCTCCTCTGCTCTTCTCCCTTTACACA